GGCCCACTCGGTAATACACATCACTCAAGCCTTGCAAGCATTGTAACTAATGAGTTAGTTGCGGGATGATGTATTACGGAACGAGTAAAGAGACCTACCGGTAACGAGATTGAACTAGGTATTGAGATACCGACGATCGAATCTCGGACAAGTAACATACCGATGACAAAGGGAACAACGTATGTTGTTATGCGGTTTGACCGATAAAGATCTTCGTAGAATATGTAGGAACCAATATGAGCATCCAGGTTCTGCTATTGGTTATTGACCGGAGACGTGTCTCGGTCATGTCTACATAGTTCTCGAACCCGTAGGGTCCGCACGCTTAAAGTTCAATGATGATTATATTATGAGTTTATGTGTTTTGATGTACCGAAGGTAGTTTGGAGTCCCAGATATGATCACGGACATGACGAGGAGTCTCGAAATGGTCAAGACATGAAGATTGATATATTGGACGACCATATTCGAACACCGGAATGGTTCCGGGGGTTATCGGATATATACCAGAGTACCGGGGGGTTATTGGGCGTCATGGGCCCAAGTGGTGGAAGAGGAGAGGTGGCAGGAGGTGGCGCACGGCCCCCCTTGCCCCAATCCGAATTGGGAAAGGGAAGGGGGCGGCGGCCCCCCTTCTCCTTCCTTCTCTCCACCTCCTCCTTCCCCTTCTCCTAGTTGGAATAGGAAAGGGGGGCAAAACCTACTTGGAGTAGGATTCCCCCCCCCTTGGGTGCGCCTCCTCCTCTTGGCCGGCCCCCTCCTCCTCTCCCCTTTATATACGGAGGAGCGGGGCACCCCATAGACACAACAATTGATCTCTTGGATCTTTTAGCCGTGTGCGGTGCCCCCCTCCACCATAATCCACCTCGGTCATATAGTAGCGGTGCTTAGGCGAAGCCCTGCGTCGGTAGAACATCATCATCGTCACCACGCCGCCGTGCTGACGGAACTCTTCCTCAAAGCTCGGTTGGATCGGAGTTCGAGGAACATCATCGAGTTGAACGTGTGCAGAACTCGGAGGTGCCGTGCGTTCGGTGCTTGATCGGTCGGATCGTTAAGACGTACGATTACATCAACCGCGTTGTGCTAACGCTTCCGCTTTCGGTCTACGAGGGTACGTGGACACACTCTCCCCTCTCGTTGTTATGCATCACCATGATCCTTGCGTGTGCGTAGGAAAATTTTAAAATTGCTACGTTCCCCAACACTCCTTTCCTTTTCCTCTTCCCTCTCCCTTCCCTCTTTCCCCCTCCATGAGAAGGAAAAAATTACCGGGGGGGTCCTACTAGGACTCCCCTCTCCTTGGCGCGCCCCTGGTGGCCGGCCTCCTCCTCCCCTCCTTTATATACGGGGGCAAGGGCACCCCAAAGCACAATAGTTATTCTCTTAGCCGTGTGCGGTGCCCCCTCCACAGTTTACTCCTCCGGTCATAGCGTCATAGTGCTTAGGCGAAGCCCTGCGCGGATCACATCACCACGCCGTCGTGCCGACGAAACTCTCCCTCGACCCTATGCTGGATCAAGAGTTCGAGGGACGTCATTGAGCTGAACGTGTGCTGAACTCGGAGGTACCGTACGTTCGGTACTTGATCGGTTGGATCGCGAAGACGTTCGACTACATCAACCGTGTTAACCTAACGCTTCCGCTTTCGGTCTACGAGGGTACGTAGACACACTCTCCCTCTCGTTGCTATGCATCTCCTAGATAGATCATGCCTGATCATAGGATTTTTTTAAAATTGCATGCTACGTTCCCCAACAGTAACCATTAGGGTTTGCCAAATATAGTGATTTCGAATGTGGATGGACTATGTTTAGGTCTAGGGTTTGTATTAGATATTGTTGTGATGTGTTTTCGATGCCACATGGTAGATTTGTCATTGTCGTTGATACTTTTAATTATTTTGCATTGCCATTGTTTTTAGATGGTGAGAATCGTGAATGTTCATTACATTCAGAAGGCGGCATTTATGAATGCCGAGATTGTTGAGAACGAGGAGGAAGTGTTCGCATTTGTTAAAAATCCTAGTTATGAGGAGGTTGTGGAACAAATAAAGATTGTGTTAAATAGGATGAATCCAAGTGACCAAGTGGAACTGTTAAGAAGGTTTGGTGTTGGGCTGGGCATAAATATCTAATGAAGAAGATGTCTATCAAGTCGGATTTGCAATGGTGTGCAAAAAAGGAGGTATTGCGCCCTGGAAATTCAAATCACTTGAATTATTTGCCAGCAAAGTGAAAGGTCCTCTCTTTCATCTTGACTTGAACCAAACATCATTAGATGATATGAGCTCGATTAGAACTGTGTCGATTGTTGATGAAAGGGTGGAAGTGCATGTCGTCAAGGTAATGCGCCAATCATCGGCTGACCTCTAAACTCATCGGGGATAAATTCATGAAACATGTAACCAAGAACCACTAAGGTGAAGTTGATGATGAGTTTGGAAGATGATATGTTCAGACACAAAGTGAAGTACGTTAAGACATGAAAGGCCAAACAAGTCGCTCTTAAAATGTTCTATAGTAGATGGATAGAAGCATACAACTTCCTCCCTAGGTTATTGGGAGCGATGACCTACAGGAACCCATGCATGTATCATATGGCCGAGGATGATGATTGAGTGTTCCATTCTGCCTTCTAGACTTTCGACCCATGCATCACAACTTTTCAACACACCATCAATCGTTTTGTTTATAGATGAAACATTCTGTACATGCAAATACAAGGGCAAACTCATAATAGCATTGGCACACGACGCTAATAAGTGTTGCCCATGGCATTTGCTTTGGCATCAGTCGAGAACCGAGTCAATTCAGAATGGTCATGGCTCATGTGAAGAGAATGAGCATTGCTCCAGATAGGGAGGTATCATATTGAAGGTTGTGAATATTGACATTCCAGGGCATGCGAGGATGCATCACCGATGGTGCATGGGACATTTCATGGCAATTTTTTACAGGACATGTAAGAACAAGGATCTTTGGAAGGATCTAATTTCTGCATGTGTGGCCTCTGTCAACCGCCCGTTCATGTGACGCTTGAACAAAATCAACCGGACCATGATACATCACGTTCAAAGGGAATTATCCCATGACCATGTACGGCCTTCATTTGACCTACATCACATCATGTAACTCTGTAGAAAGCATTCGACCACAATGAGGCAAATTATCCATGTATCGAGCTCGTTGATGTATGATTTTTATCACCCTATAAAGCGTGACATGCACACTTCCACACTAGCCCATAGTTACCTGACTACGGGGAAGCGCTCGAGGATCCTCATCATAAGACCACTTCCATTGATCAGGCGGGTCCTTTTTCAGTGGACGGCCAGCAGGGATCTGTTCCCACATTCAAACCTACAAGGCACAACAGCCAATGCAGGAGGTCTTCTTCTGCCTATAACATGCCTCGTCTATACGCATGTTGAAAAACATGTTAAATTATGGCACTCAACACTACAAGAGAAAAATACACATATATGACATTTTGACCCAAACGAAAACATTTTATGTCATGAAAGTGGCACATTCATGACAAAAAATACTGACGAAAACATGTATTGTCATCCTTATCGAGGCCTGTTCAAGCTACCCTTTCAACCCCTGCTATCCTTGCATCCTCTTCCTCCAGGCATGTCGCCCATCGTCTCTGATATGCTTTTGATCTAGCGCACGCGCACGTTGTTGTCCACCAAATCGTCGACGAGCCGAGGTTAGAGAGAAATTGAGTTGGGTTTTATGAAGCATGATTTGTAGCGTTGCAAGCATGACTTTCGTATACGATGGAAAGAAATACAAAATTCTGAAGCATTTACGGTGTTTGAAGCATGACTTCCGTATGATGAAATAAACACGCAACATTAAGTGTTGACGTATAAATATCTTGTCTAGTCTCTTTCATCAGATCGGTGTTTCGATTACATTAGCTAGAGCATGCACTTCTACATTAAGAAAGCATTGTACCGCGTGCAGATAATGCCATGGCCCATGAGCTACTAGCTAAGTTTAGCTTTTTCTAAAAAAATTGTACTAGCTCTCTCTCAGTTTACAAGGCGTGTGCGTACCCTTAGATTGTCAATTTGACCAACCTAATACAAGTCATATATTACAAAAAATATACCAACATAAACTTCAAAGTTTCTATTTTCAAAAGGTATAATTTTTGTGTTATATAGTTTATATTAGAGTGATAAAATTAATAACATAGGTATACATGTAGGACTTGTAAACTGAAACGGAGGTACTAATATAAAAGCCGTAATAATTGGCTTGACGAGCCTTCATGCTATATCCTCAAGGGACTTGTGGACGGTGTAAATGCCTTCTAAAGGTAAATACTCTAGCCATAACGACCTTCCCAGAATAAAATAAAAACCACTGTACCTGGTAACAAGGAAACTGACGTGTTATATATCAGCGTTCACCCCCTACAAAAACGGACGAGATTTGTCTACTTCCCCGTCGTGTGCCCATTCGTGCTTCTACGTTTCTTGATTTAATTGGAACAAAATAAGATCCGACCACATCTTCTTAAAATCAAGAGGAGATGATTAGATTAGAAATAAAAAAGAAAAAAAAACAACTGTAGGATGACGTGGGAGCACGCATGGAAGCACGGGGAGGTAGCAGGCAAACCGGATCCTACGAAAACACACACAGTTAATCTGATTTGGTTTTGTCAAATTTGGGTCGCAATTAGGGGTAATAAATACGTACTCCATCTCTGATCCAACGCCTTCCAACGAGCCAAACCGGCATACATCACTACGTGGAAGCGGCGCGGCAACTCCAACGCGTGGCGCCCCGGGTACCCATGCGACCGACGCGGCCGGTTCGCTCGCCACGCCACGCCGCGCCGATCTTCTTCCCTCCCCTTAAAATTCCTCCTCCGCGCCCCGTTCCCGCACCGATCTCCCGAGAAAACACCCGCCCGCACCACGCCACGCCCAGACGAACTGCTCCCCGCCCTGCTCCCTCACCCCCGAGAGAGAAAAAATGGGTGCTCCCTCCACCGCGCCCGCGCCCTCCCCGCCGGCGCTGCCCGAGGCCTCCGCGCCGGACGACCGTGCGCCGCCCGAGCCCGCCGCGCCGGAGCTGCCGCCGCCGCTGCGGCTGCGCTGCGGCGTGCAGCAGTACGAGTGGGGCCGGCGCGGCGCCGCCTCCCTCGTCGCGCGCCTCTCAGCCGCGGACTCCGCCGCCGAAATCGACGAGGCCCGCCCCTACGCGGAGCTCTGGATGGGCACGCACCCGGCCGCGCCCTCCGCCGTGCTCCCCGGCGGCGAGCCCCTCGGCACCTGGCTCGCGCGTAACCCGGCCGCGCTCGGCCCCGCCGTCGCCGCGCGCTGGGCCGGCGACCTCCCGTTCCTCTTCAAGGTGCCCGCCGCCTCCTTCCTCTGCTCTGCAGTTCTGCTCCTCAACCATGACGTGTTCGCGAAGCTGACTCTGTCCTCCGCGTGCGATTTTCCCGCGTGCAGGTGCTGTCGGTGGCGAAGCCGCTGTCGATCCAGGCGCACCCGGACAAGGGGCTGGCGGAGCTGCTGCACGCCATGCGGCCGGCCACGTACCGGGACGCCAACCACAAGCCGGAGATGGCCATCGCCGTCACCGACTTCCGCGCGCTCTTCGGCTTCGCCGGCATCCAGGTGCGTGCGTCTCCGTGCGTCCCAACCGCCACCGCGTGCGCAGTGCTGTTGCGCCCCCTGTCACCACCCCGTAGATAAGTCCAGTTCCGTTGCGCCTCTGCACATATTTCTTATCTATAAGAGTATACGACGTGTTTACCTCAAAAAAAAAAAGAGTATACGACGTGTGCGCTTGGACTGTCAGACTATTTTAGGCTCAACTGAATCTCGCTAGGAGCAAGCACGCCTTGACTTCTTCAGGATGCGTGCCACATGTTTAGATGCGTGTTCCAGAAGAAAATGCCATCCTAATTCCTCGCAATATTGCACCTTAATTTTGGAAGGTCGGCGTATCGTGTGGGAGTTTTAGAATATGCCAAGCAATTGTGTATTTTTTGGTGCAAAAATCGCCGAAAACTGCCACCCGTTGGATCTAGATCGTGTACCTCTGGGGGCGTTCGCGTTCGCTGGGGTCTCACCCCAACCGAACGTTCGTCAGATAGCTTTACCGTAATATTTTTTTTACCAGGTAAATGGTTTGTTTCAACTCTTTCCTAGTTGATGCACATTTACATGTCCGTTACTTCCTGCTTGGCTAGTCGATATACTCACCAAGCTCTACATTTAGAAAATCACATATTTATTTGAAAGAAAAACTGCATATCAGGCACGAAATAATGGTGTCCCACAACCAATTTTGCTGACATGTAAATACGATGATCTATCTCTAAATACATAAATGCGACACGCGGGCCAGCCGGCTGTACCACCTATCACCTATCCAAGAACTCGTGGGCATGCGCCGCTGTTGCTTGGAGATAGACACGAGTGCCAGAACAGGACACAGATTTGGGGTTAGTGATTCAGAAAAATAAAACAAAATTGGACAACCATATCCGGCTTTTCAAATCTATACCCTTTTGTTCTTCGCAGAAGGTTTTTTTCACCCCGATGTGTGTGTGGATCAAACTCAGGATCTAGTACCTTTTCATTCCTATCAAGTTGAAAATTCTATGGTAAATGTATTGTAGTTCTAAAGTTGAATTATGTACAGGGGCATTTGTAACCGATTGGCTATTGGTAGGCGGTAAATACAAATGTACTCCCTCCGTAAACTTTTATAAGACGTTTTAGGTGATCTAAAGTGTCTTATAAAAGTTTACAGAGGTACTCCCTCTGTCCGAAAATACTTGTCATAAAAAGGAATAAAAAGGGATGTAGTACTTTACAGGAGGACAACTGAAATGAAATTGGAAACAGTAAGTACAGTTCACCGCTCACCGCGTGCGCATTGCTTTGTCCCCTTTCGCCACCGCTTATACAAGTCCGCTTCTGTTGCGCCTCTGCATATAAATCCACTTATATAACTAACACCATGGAGTATATGCGCCAAGCCAAACGTGTGCGCTTGGACTGTCAGACTATTTTAGGCTCAGCTGAATCTCGGTAGGAACAGTCACGCCTTGACTTCTTCAAGCCAAGTAATAATGCAAGCCAAAATTGCTATCTTCCCCAGTTTCTTCTAAGACAACATGGCACATGTTTAGATTTCTTTTTTTTAAAAAAATATTGCAGGGACCCGATTGCTTTTTCTAAAAATATTTGTAGGGATCTGATTGCTTTGTAAAAAATTACAGGGGTTGTTTTATAACAAGACTGACACGTGGCGTGGGACTGATTGGATCAAACTCGGGATCTAGTACTTGTTCATTCCTATCTAGTTGATTTCTATGGTAAAATATTGTAGTATTAAAGTTGAATTCTGTACAAGGGCATGTGTAACCGATTGGTTATTGGAAGGCGGTAAATACAAATGTAGATTAGTAGGGCAACTGAAATGAAATTGGAAATAGTAAGTACAGCTATTAAGCGAAAGCCTTCACAAAACCTGTGTTGCGCTTGATGAAGAACATCCACCAGAAATAATACTTGGAAGTAGTAGTTCTTTGATATGGGCACAGAAGTAGTACACATATTTGCTTTTTCGCCTGTCTAAACAGGTAGCTTACAAACTGTTCCTAGATCTATAGAAGACCAAATTGTACAACTTTATACTTTCATTTTACATTTTCTTTAACATTTTTTTTTTGTTTTTGGCCGTTGTCTTTTACTTAGCCACACATATATGTTCAATGAGATCAGGAGCACATCACACATTTTCTTATGTTCATTTTTTTAATACAAAGGGGAATCATTTGTTTCAAGAACAGGCACAGTTTTATTGGCATCAATGTTCTCTTAGATGCCTTCTAGTAGTTTTACTTGTAAAGTAATATGCTGTTTATACCATGGTGTAGGAGCTCAAGGATGTTATAAGGACTGTACCTGAAGTTGCAGGGCTGATCGGACATGAAGATGCTGACAAGCTTATGACTGTAAAAGAGTATCATGATGGCAATGATGTAAAATCCAGTCTGCAATCAGCATTCGCTAAGCTAATGACAGCAAGTAAAGAAGCAGTTTCCGAAGCAGTTAATAAATTGAAGGGTCGCCTGAATGATGAGAGCGAGGTAAAAGGTTTCTTAACCTAGGATGTATGTGGTCATTTTTATTTTCTTATGATAGCAATCTGTCAAACCACACAGCACATAGTACTGAATGTAACCTGCTAATTGACATCGTTGCCTCCGAAGAAAAAGTAAAAAACTATGTTGTTTACTACGCTGCATTTAAGATGTTATATGTAATACTGAAGATGTTAACATGATATTTTACACATGGTTAGTATAGATGACAAACTGAAGGTGTTGCTCCCAAAGCCTGAAAGCCCTATATTCATGTTGGATATATTACATTTGGACTAGGAACATTGGAAACTGTGAGTCCTCGGTACTGATAGGTAGACACGAAAGCTATAAGAACACTGTATCGTCTTTACTGTCAGATAAGGGTAAAAGTTGTGGTTGACCTGGTAGATTACTAGATTAAATTGCTAAGAACTATTAGTTGGAATGATATCGAGTTACTAGGGAAGATAAAGCTGGTAGAAGATCACAATACCAAATCATAGTTTTGTCTTAAGATTTACATTACTTCGATAAAATTTCTGCTGTATTTCCCTCCTATATGAAACGATCCTTGACAGAAGAAACGATCCTTGACAGAAGATGATGTTCAGCAATATGGTGCATCACTATTCAGCAATGTACTTTTCGTATTTAAGAAAAGAATATTAATGCCATTTGACAAGCCTGAGATTCTGTTTTTACTGATGATGTTGTTCAGATTCGGACCTTAACAGAGAAGGAGGAACTTGTTTTGTCTCTGGAGAGACAGTATCCAGAAGATGTTGGTGTTCTAGCCGCACTTCTCTTCAACTATGTCAAGCTCAGCCCAGGTGAAGCAATTTATATCGGTGCCAATGAACCGCACGCATACCTGTCCGGGGAATGCATCGAGTGCATGGCTACTTCGGACAATGTGGTTCGTGCTGGTTTGACACCTAAATACAGAGATGTGCAGACCCTCTGCTCCATGCTAACATACAAACAGGTGAGTTTAGCTTGAAATTGTGCCGACTGTCGACTATGGTCCTGAGAGAGAGATTAGAGCTTGCATGTGCTAGTTAATGTTCTCCTTGATGTCTAAACAGTATATTTTCTGTATGCAGATCTTCCCTGAAATACTGCGAGGGGTACCTGTGCAGCCATACGTACGACGCTACACCCCTCCGACTGACGAGTTCGAGGTTGACTGCTGCTTGCTGCCTCCAGGTGAAGTGGTTGTCATGCCACCGGTACCAGGTCCATCCATCTTCCTTGTCATGACCGGGGAGGGCGAGGTTCAGGCAGACTCCATGTCAGACGGCGAGAAGGCGAAGGAAGGCGACGTCTTCTTTGTGCCCGCGCACACCGAGGTTAGGCTCTCCGCTTCTGGCCATGCGACGATGCAGCTGTACAGAGCTGGGGTGAACAGCAGAGCATTGTACGCGTGCAACGCTGCTGCTGCGGGGAAGAGGTCCCAGCTGCAGAACATATGCGAAATGGCGAGTTAGCTGGGGCGCTGATATACATACAGTATAGGCCGATGGATGCAAGTGCTAATGTAATATGTATAGTCCAATGGACGAGTAATAAGTTCCTTGATGCCTTTAGAACAAGGTCCCTTGCATATAGGTACCCTGGCATGGCATGCTCTCTGCTGTTAGATAACTAATGGGGTCAGTGAATAAGAAGTTTCAGTCCTTCTGCTAACCTGTAAAAGTTCAGTGACCAGATGTAAATCGTGCAGTTCTCCAGTTCAGAGGATAATTGGAGATGCTGATATACCAGTGCCTGTGCATTTCAGCGTTCTGCTTGTTCCTCTTGGTTGCCAGGTCCGGGTGGAGGATCACTGTCGGGACGACGGATGGGATATGATCCGTCTGCGACGTGGTTCTCTGTCTCAACATGCTGAAGGTTTTGTTCTTGACTTCTTCACTGAAGTTTTGGGTTTCAGATGCTCCACCCCTCGCTCCGAAACACCTCTGAATTTGTCCCTGCTCCACTCGTCAAACCTTAGTCCCAGTGGCCGGCTGCACGCACAGCGAGTTCAATTCAAGCAGCTTCGCAGAACCAGTCAGAAACTGGGACTCGTTGTCGTCGTCGTCGCCCGTGTCCGCGTGCTGAATTGCTGACGCACTCGCCGGTCTCCGTCAACGGTAAGAGAGGTAAACAACTGAACATGTCGCACTCTCTCTTTCTCTTGCCGTGGTCTCAGGGAACCCCGACCTTTGCTGCTGCTGCTGCCCAGCTTTATTAAAGCAAACGTGTGGTATTTCGGCCGTCAGGATTTTCAGAGACTTCAGAGTTCAGAGAGTTTCGCCGGCTGAAGCAAGCCGCAGCTCTGCTGATCCGCTTTCCTTACTTAACAGCTGTTAACACTGAAAGTAGGAATGAATGGATGGTGTTTACATTAGTTACCTGGCACATCAAGGAAAACTCGGGCGAAGCAACCTATTGTTGTTTTCCACACTGAACTTGTCAGTTCTCGCTGGTTCTTCTTTCTTCCGGCTATTGTCTTCATGTCGGCGGCTATGTGTTTATTAGCAGGAAAACTTGGGCGAAGCAACCTATTGTTGTTCTCCAGCATGTGTGGAAAAACAGTTTTCGTTTGGAAATTGGAAGATCATAGAGAAGTGGGTTACTAGAAGACATGGGCAAAAGTTAAAAAAAAAAAGCTATTTACTATCTGCATTTATGATGTTATATGTAATATGGAAGATGTTAACATGATACTCCCTCCGTAAACGTTCTTATATTAGTTTACAGAGGGAGGGAGTGCATTTTACACATGGTTAGTACAGCAGACAAACTGAGGGTGTTGCTCCCAAGGCCTGAAAGCCCTCAATTCATGTTGGATATATTACATTTGGACTAGGAACATTGAAACTGTGAGTCTTCAGTACTAATAATAGGTAGATGCAGAAGTTACAGATTACAGAACACTGTATCGTGTTTACTGCCAAAAAGGGTAAAATTTGTGTTTCAACTTTTAGATTACTAGATTAAATTGCCAAGAACTATTGGTTGGAATGATATCGAGTAACTAGGGAAGATTAGGCTGGTCGAAGATCATTGTATTAAATCCTATAGTTTTCCAATGGACGAGTAATAAGTTCCTTGATGCCTTTAGAACAAGGTCCCACCCACGCATATAGGTCTTGTGCATGCTCTCTGCTGTTATAGAGAACTAACTGGTGGAGTTTTTACTGAATGCTAAGTTTCAGTCCTTTTGTTAATAATAGTAATAAGTTTCAGTCATTCTGTTTCTTTGTAGTAGTTGAGTAACCAAATGTAGATGGTGCAGCACTCCAGTTTCAGAGGATGGTTGGAGGTGCCGAGATACCAGTACCAGTATATTCGTATTGTTTTTGGTGGTTCCTCTTGGTCACTTGGCCTGGGCGAAAGAACTCTGTTGGCGCCACGGCTGCTGTCGATGCCGTGATTCTCCGTGTCTACATACTGAATATTTCTGCTCTTGCTTCCTTCACTGAAGTTTTGGGTTTCAGATGCTCCACCACTTGCTTGACGTCTGTTTTTTCTTTTCTTATTTTCAGTGGGTTTGCCGTCTGGGCTGTGTCACCAAGAGCAAGCAACTCTTGGAACTTCTCAAGTCTCTTCCTTCTTCCTTGGCCCGATTTGGCTAATGGGCACGCCCTCTTCCATGGCGTGGACCCTGGCCACTTGGGCGCACACACATCAAGTACTCCCAAAACCCCTCTGAATTTGTCCCTGCTCCACTCGTCAAACCTTAGTCCCAGTGGCCGGCTGCACGCCTAGTTTAATTCAAGCAGCGTCGGAGAACCGGTCAGAAACCGCGACTCGTCACCGTCGCCGTCGTCGGCCGTCCGCGTGCTGAATTGCTGATGCACGCACCGGTCGCCGTCAACGGTAAGAGAGGTAAACAACTGAACACGTCGCGCTCTCTCTTGCTATGCCATGGTCTCAGGGAACCCTGCCTTTGCCGCCGCTGCTGCTGCCTGGCTTTATTAAAGCAAACGTGCTGTGTTTCGGCCATCAAGACTTTCAGAGAGTTCCGCCGGCTGAAGCAACGGGTCTGCTGAATTGCTCTCTTTTTTACTGCTCCCTCTGTTCCATAATATAAGAGCGCTTTTTATACTACGCTGTGTAGTATGAAAGCCGTTTTTATATTATGGGATGGATGGAGTACTACTTAAACATGGACAAAGCAGTTTTCGTTTTGAAAATCGGAGGGATTGTATCTAGCCGGTCGCTACAAGACATGGACAAAACAGTTTTCGTTTGAAAATCGGAGGATTGTATCTAGAAGACATGGCCGTATGTTTGGACTGTTCTTAGAGCGCTGGAGCAGTCGGTGTCATTGCCACCTCTCTGATGACAAAAGCCTGAGGAATGCACGCAGCTTCAGATAGACCAGAAATCATTCAGGCTTTTGCTATCCCGGTAGACAGTTGCAGTGAGGATCATATATAAAGGATTTCTAGCCTCTAGGGTATGGCGATGACTTGGGAGGGTAGGTAGCCCATACCCGGAGCCTTCATCTTCTAACTAATTCTGCTTCTGTTGAACTCCATATCTGTAGTTAACATAACACCAGAGACGCCTAAACTGTGTACAGCATATGGACGAGGTTCAAAGTTAGGCAAGCAGCAAAGAGTGTATACTTCAAAGGGGGTATGAGCCGACCTCGTATGTCTGGTATAAGTAGCAGTGATTCCATATTGCCGGTACGATGGCATGAGTAGCCTGCTGCGTGCTTCTTCAGATTCGTTGCACACACCAGATGGCTACACCATTTGATCTGACTCGACCATGGCCACACACCCTACTGTCGTTTATACGGCCAGACGACTCCATCTGTCTTGCCTTTGACCCTTGTGACCTTGGCACTATGGTTGGAGCTATTGGAGTGCAACTTTTCTACTAAAACCGTGTAAGTAGTACTCCATCCATTCCAATATAAGTCTTTTTAGAGATTTCAATATAGACTACATATGCGAATCAACCTGTGGTTGAGTTGGTTAGGTGGACAGTGGTATTCCCAACCCAATCCTGGTACTCGCATCATTCTAGGATTTATTTCAGGATTTCCGGCGATGCGCTTTCAGTAAAATCGACGACGAGGTGCGTGTGTGCGTTCATGGGGGTGAGTGTATGCGCGTGTATATGAGCGCTTGTGTCTGTACTGATGCTAAAAAAATATATAGACTACATATGAAGTAAAATGAGTAAATCTACACTCTAAAATATGTCTATATACATCCGTATATAGTCCATATTGAAATCTCTAAAATGAATTGTATTTAGAAACGGAGGAGTATATGGTAAAAAACAACAAAAAACAAAATTTAATTTTCATTCAGGTGGGGAGCTCCCCCAACGTTGCTCGGTTGAAAGAGCAACTTCCCTATCTTTTAGCTTGCTGATTTTTGATTCGGCACACCATCCAGATTTTTTTGTCCATTCTTTTCTTTTTTGAGATAAAGATTTTTTGTCCATTCTCAAACCACTCCAATTCGCACGCGTCGCGATGATCCATGGACGGGGAGTGGAAAACGCGTCACTGCACCGCTTGGAACTGCCGCACGAGGAGAAACACCGACGAGGGTGCCCGCACGCCATGGATCATAGGCAAAAAGGAATCACGTGAGAGGGCACTGCCCGTCGCCACCGTCCGTGGCTAGGGCTTTGCCCGGCCGCCTCATCTGTCGGCGACGAGGGGAGGCAATGGAGGGGAGGTGAGGGTGATTAGGGCTGACGACGAGGCTTCCCCGTGTTGCCCTAGGAGCGATGCGGGGGTCGGGAGTAGGAATGAATGTATTGTGCCGAAGGCTGTCGATGTTTACTGGTGC